GTGTAGGCTTTCAATTTATCTTCACACGATACTCTAAAATTCCATAACACATGCACACAAGCATATGTAAAGCCACAGTATATAACTTAAGGTATCACTAGCATGAAACTCCGAAACAACCCACTTTGCTCCACCTAGCACTTCCTCTCCCTGCTCCACTATGCTCTACTATGATCTGCTACACTCTGCACAGCTCTTCAGATATTTGTCCTCATGAAATTACAATAGTTAAGAGTGCAACAAAACACTGATCAAGCAGAAATAGTAGAAAATCTGATTTGTTAGAGAGGGTGAATCCCCTCAAATCCTTTTAGAAGCTAATATCTCTGCACTGCTGCCAGTGCTGTTCAATGAGTCTGGGTCACAGGTGGCTTTGACAGCACCTCTCCACATTAAGACAAGTTTTAGAGCATACAGTATTTCTACAACAAAAATAAGTTGACTAATGTATTAATTCAGTGGATTAAAAGTATGAGAAAATGTACGCGTTTGAAGTCCGGCATCATAGTGTCACAAGTGCTGCTCAACAAAACTCTGTTTCACAGCATATTAGTCTATTAATATGCTATGTATTGCATTACCATTTTCAATTCAGTCAAAGTAAACTCAATAATCAAAGCAATTAAAACACAATCACTTGTGTTTCCAAGTGCTATGTGGAAACTTGGCCTGGTAGTTCTTTGGGATTCTGGACCTTCTCTCCTGATGACCTCTCAAGGTGAACTCTTGTATGGCTATTCATCCCATGAATACTAAATATGGTTGAGTTAAATACTTTCTCTCTTCTCACTACTATTTAATCAGTTGTCTTACTGAGCTGTCTGTCTGGGGTAATCCCTGAGGCTCACCATCACACACAGTCAGCATCATAAAGACAACTGGTATGCTGCTCTGGAAGTATTCAAGCCTGAGCTTTTTCTCCAAGAAGGAGAACCCAAACATCCTCCAAAGAAGCCAGAAACAGGACACCTAACTAAGGCCAATGACTGGAAGATGCTGGTGGATATTGGCAAACAATTGTTCTTTCCACTAGAAATTGCTTCCACCAGCCTTAGGCCTGATCTAGTACTCTGGTCCCCATCACTGAAGATCACTTACATCACTGAACTCACAGTCCCATGGGAGGACCTTGCCGAGGAGTCCAGTGAGCGTAAGAGACTACAGTATGAAGACCTGGCAGCAGATGCAAAACAAAGGTTCTGGAATGTCAAATTTGATGTGGGTTGCAGAAATTTCATCGATTTTCCATCATCAAACTGCTGAGGGATCTGGGACTCCACAGACCATCAGAGGTGGCTGACAGAAGTAGTCAGTGGATATGGTTCAAGTGGAAAGACTCAACAACAAGATGAATCTCAGAAACAAGTGGTTATGGGACACAAGTTCACGTTTGAACACCCTTTAGCTCTCCCAAACTAAATGATATCATATAGGCTTTTTACAAGGACAGAATTGAAAGGAATGTTATATTTATGTTGTAAACAAATAAAATAAGCATTCTTTTCCTTTTATGGCCCAAAATTGCTTGTAGTAGTTTCAGTAGATAATATATACAAAAATGATTA